AATATAGACCTCTAAAAAGTGAGCCCAAATGGCTTTGAATTTTTCAGGCCTTCCCCCTGTACAGAATGCTGGTCATTCATTAGGTGTGAGCTCAGCCATATCACTGAGCTGGGCATAAATGTTTGGTGTGGACTGAGTTGCCCATTTTTGCAGGACTAATTTTCCAGTAACCAAAGCTGCACACTGGAACCACACCCCCTTCTTACCAAATATTCCTGATACATGGAGGTTATGTCCAAGAATAAAACATAAGAGGGAGGGCTCCAACTTAGCATCCAATATCAATTTGGCCCTTTTACCCACCTCATCCCAGAATTTCCCAAAGCATATGAGCTATTGTAGCACCAAGACAGTTAAATTTCTAATAGTGATCAACATTTAGGAAGCCCTCTACCATTAGCCTATGTGGGGACCAGTTTATTTGAAAGGTGGTCTGCAGTTGCTTTCTTTAACAATAGATACAATTGTATTCCATTGCGTCGGAGATATCTGTGTATCCAAATGTCTATTCCAAGCAGCTCTTGAGTTATCAGTCTTTGACTGATCTTTTTAGGCCAGAAAACCGTAAAAGATATCGCTGGCTGAATAAATCCAGGAAGTTTCCTACAAAATAATAAAAGTTCTGGAGGTTCTGGAGCTCCCAATACATCCAATCCAAATACATTGGTAAACCAATGTTTTAACTGTTATTTAAATGTTCCAGAACAGGGCAAGGCAAATTGTTACTGTAGGTCTACAAATGGTTTAAACTGATTACTGTCAATTAGCCAAGACACAGTCATAATTCCTCTCTCCATCCAATCCCTCCACATCAAAGTTTTGCCATTGATTTTAAATACAGGATTACATAGAACCGCTTCTACATGGAAGGAAGAATGGAAGCAGAACTTTCTAACTACATTTGACCAGGCTTGTTCTGCAGCAACTCTTGTAGGAGCTCATGAGCCAATAAATCTATAATAATTTGAACCTACAATCATAGGCGCCGACTTTCACTGTTCCCGGTGGGTGGTTGACCCCACCCCCGCCCCTGGCCCTGCCTCTGCACAGCCCTCACCCCACCCCCATCCCATCCCTTTCCCAAAATCCCCGTTCCATTCCACCCCCTTCCCAGAAGACCCAGCCCCTGTCCCCCCTCTTCTCTGCCTCCTCCCCTGAGCCCACCGTGTCCCCGCTCCTCCCTGCTCCCTCCTGGAAAGTCCTAAGTGCCGCCAAACAGCACTGGGAGGTAGGCAGAGGAGTGGAGACATGGCTTGTTTGTGCGGGGGAAGGAGTTGAGGTGGGATGGGGGGTGAGGGGAGCTTGGCTGCCAGTGGGTGCAGAGTGCTCACTAATTTTTCCCTGTGGGTGCTCCAGCCCCGGAGCACCGGTGGAGTCGGTGCCTATGCCTACAATGCATGAAAAGGGGAGAGGGAGTACTAATTCTCGTTCAATGTAAATTCACGGTGGGGTTAGTACAGTTATATGTAACAGCCCCAAAGATGACTTAACAAAAAGGAGGTAGAATAATTAAGGCTAAGATGTGTAATAAACTTGTTGGATCATATTAAAGAAGTTCTGTATTAAAATCACAAATGAGTTTGATTCCCCATAGTTCAAATTCCAGGGTATTACTAATTAAGAGGTCTCTTGGTTTTTGGTACTGTTTCTCTCCCTCTATGTGTGAAACTTGCAAGCTGCTAACTGTGTTAGTACATTCTAAGACAGAGTCTGTTCTCAAAGCAATTCACAGAGAGAGAGACTCAAAACAATTCTCTAACAACAGAAACAGCACCCAGAGACTCCCCGCCCTTTTGTTGTATTAACAATTGTGATTAAAATAGAGATAGAGGATGTATGTGGATGGATGCTTGTTGTGGATAATAACTGAATGATCAGGGAGGTGCCAGCCTAAGAATCCAGTGTCCATCGGCTGAAGAAGGCATCAAGTGGAAATAACCAGAGGACCCCCCGGAGGGCAGACTGGAATCCACCCAACAGCCTCAAGAATGGGAGAACCAAAGAACAAGATAACATCTTGGAGCCATCAGGAATGTGCTATCTGCTGATTGATTCAGCAACAGCATGATGAAGCAATTCCCATAGACTGGCATCGGAAGAAATTCCTATAAAAATAGACTCTAAAAAGTGAGAACTTTGGGGTCTGATTCTGCAAACCAACTTCCAGGAGCACCAGATGAGCATCTGACAAGGCCCTGCTCCCTCCTCATGTCCAGGCCACCTGGCCAGTGGCTTGGCATGAGCAACTCTAAGGCTGGTAACTATGATAACAACCTTGCAGAACCTGTGTGTGTGTGTGTGTTTGTATGAATGAATGTGTGAATAAAGATGAGATTGAATGGAATGTTATAGCTATAACTAACTGCTTACTATGATTCTTTCTGTATTCACAATAAATGTGGTATTTTGCCTTTTTCCCTTTAATAAGATCCTGCTGGTTTTTATTTTATTGGTATAACAAACTAAAATTCATGGAAGCCGTGACCTGTCTGTGACTTTTGCTGCCGCAGCTTCATGGTTTCTCCTGCCACCATGGTGGCTGGGAGCTGCGGGGGTTCCCCCTGCCCCTCCCCGTGTGCAAGGCTGTCATGCATGTGCATCGCTGGAACCTTGCCAGGGCCCTGCTGGCTGCCAGCTCTAGTCCCTTGGCCCCAGGGGCTGAAGCAGAAAAGGTCACAGAGGATTCCTTGACTTCTGTGACCTCCATGACATAAACATAGCATTAAGGACAATTAGTCAAGTAGGGGAAATGAAATCCCCACAGAGATAGGGGGACGGGGGAGCTGTAATTTGTTCAGAGCCAGGCTAGGTTTCTTGGCTGCTCCTGAAAGAAATATTCTAAAAATATTATTGAATTTCTTAAAATAAATGAGGAATGGAAACAGGGAGACAGCTCAGGACTTATGACATTCTGGGAACAACGGTCATTTCCAAAGCAGCCTTAGTGTCAATGAGCATCAGACTTTTAAAACACTGATTCCAGTTTAAGTAAGTTTTTAGCATGTAAAAAGAAAAGGAGTACTTGTGGGACCTTAGAGACTAACAAATTTATTAGAGCATAAGCTTTCGTGAGCTACAGCTCATTTCATCGGATGTAGCTCACGAAAGCTTATGCTCTAATAAATTTGTTAGTCTCTAAGGTGCCACAAGTACTCCTTTTCTTTTTACGGATACAAACACGGCTGCTACTCCGAAACCTGTTTTTAGCATGTGAATTTCACTTCACTCCTTAGACATATAGCCCCAGCTCCTGCAAGCTCATCATCACAGGCAGATGCTAATGCCCATATGAAGCCCCCGTGACTCTCCACACCAGCACAGGGGGCTGACTGCAGGATCAGAATCCTAATGGTATTGTTTTCACAAAAGCCTCCAGGGCTGTAATGTTACCAGCTTTCCTGCTTTTTCAATTCTCAATCAGTTTCTCAACTTTCAATGAACTAGTCATTGAACTAAACTAGTTGAATAAACTCTAAAGAAGAAAATATTCTCTCTTCACCTGCATAAGAGAACACTGCTCTCTAAAGCCGGTTTAGCATTTCAACAAACTCTGGTTCCAGGTTCCTAGCCTGTGACTTCCACCAGTTCAGTGGTTTGCCTTTCTTTAAAACTTCTCCGGGACATGTGTATTGCTTGAATATTATTTTATGTATATCTAATTTAAATGCTTTTAGTAGATTAGAGATCGAGTTTAGGCCATAACATATGTTGTCATAATTTTCAATTTAATTTTCATTTGATACATTTTGATCCCTCAGGGAGCACTCAGGCCATAGTCTTAAACTTTTCTCTGGAACCACGAGGGCTAGAAATGTAATTCTACTTTAAATGAAATCTGAAATTTGCACAATCTCAAAACTAGAGATGCCAGGCTTCAGAAAAATTACCAAATATTGTGAGACAAAATAAAATCCCCAAACTCACAAGAATATTATGTGAGCTGACAATACTGTAGCTGGACAAAAAAAGTTCAACAAAAATGATTTTTCACATGATTTTTAGGAAAATATTCAAAATGATTTTTCTGATCATTTCAATGAAATTATGCTAAATGAAAAAAATATTTCACATTGATTCAAAATGAGACATTGTAATTAAATGGAATAAAAGATTTTATTAACCAGTTCTCCTATCCTTTCTAAAAAGATACACAGAGGGGGAAATGATAGTTGAAGAAAAAGAAAAACTAAAAACAAAATTTTGTTTTAATAATATTTGATTAAAAATTGAAAAATCCATAAAATATTTCAAATAAAATAGAAATAATTTTAAAATACATTTTCACAATAATAATTCCATTTTTCCCAACTAGCTTTACTTCTATGGATTTCTTTATGAAATCTCACCTCCAATGGATTTTCACACAAAAGAAGCTTATCTGTCACACAATATATAAATTTGCCTCTTTTTTATTATGTTATGAAATCCCCTATTCAGCAACACTCTCAAACACAGGATCAAACTTAGACACATGCTTAATTCCCATGACTTAATCAGGAGAAAAGGATGCAATTTTCTATTTTGATTGATTCTGGAAATAATTTTCCTTTTTTCCCTTGAAAGTATCAGAAGCAAAAGGATTCAGCCCCACAGTCAGCTCTAGAAAACTGAAATGACAACAGGCAGAAAAATAGACTGATAACCACTGGATTTGGCGCAGTAACTTTCTTCCTGTATTCTAAATACTGGAAGTTATTTTTTTACAAATCTTTTCCCTGACATCACTGAGAACAGAATGAGGCCCAGGGTTCTTCAATAAAACAAAATAGCAAAATAAACAAATTATTAATTCAACCTGCTGTACAAATCTCATGGTACACTGCTACGAAAATGAGCAATGCATTTGAATGTTAATCAATTTGAATGTACATGTATTGTAGTGTTAATAAAGAGTGAAACAAATTATCAGAGGATTATTTAATCTTCAAATTGTCCAAGCAACAAGCAGTGTATATTAGGAGTTGGTTACAAAGAGTCATTCTGAAGCAAAATTAACCTACCTGATTGTAAAACTTCTCAGAAGGAGCAATCTTCAGGACGTGGTCAGACGTCACTGGTTTTGTTGAGATAATTGCGTTTTGAGTCACTAGTCCAGTTTATCAAATTTTACAGCTAATTCTGGTAATAAAATAGCTACAGTTTTCTCATTGCTTTTCCTTACACTTGTTTAAATAAATGTATTTGTGTTCCAGACCAATAAATGTGCTTTCCTCCTCTCGCAGCATTTGCAGAGTTTGAAAGAGAAAGTAAAACGGTAACTGGAAAGTTGCAGTAATTTCACATCCTGTCACAAGGGGCGATTAGATAGATTAAAGAAACAACTCCACAGTCCTGCTGAGCTGGAAGCACATGCACAGGCAGAGTCAAGCATCCAGGTGGCCCAAGTTACCTGAATCCATTAATGATTTCAAAGAGACTCTTCCTGCTTTTTTGTGAACTACAATAAATGGAATGGGGGGAAAAAACCCACCTTTGTTATCATAGAGTTAAGGTTTCCCAAAGAAGCTCATACCCTTCCAGAACATCAAGTGCATCAAAAGTCATTTGCAATGTTGTTGTAGCCATGTTGGTCACAGGATATTAGACAGACAAAGTGGATGAGGTAATCTCTCTATTGGACCAAGTTCTATTGGTAATAAAGACAAGTTTTTGAGCCATAAAGACCTGAAGAAGAGCTCTGTGTAGCTTGAAAATGTGTCTCTTTCACCAACAGAAGTTGGTCCAATAAAAGATATTACCTTACCCACCAGGTGTCTCTAAGTTCATCAAAACTCAGACTTCTGAAAACCAGGACATACAGAGTTAATGCAGAGTTGACTCTGCTCCACTGGAGCTGGCAATATTTACAATGAATTTTCTGCATACACTCCAACGGCCTTCACTGTGTTAGGTACACCTGTGTTGAGTGGTGGATGAATTAGGTGGAGCACCTTGGGAGATCTCTGAGTCTGATATGAGGAGAGTGGGGGGGTTAGTTTGAGAAGTGTCTCAGAGCTCTGATTGTGATATGAAATCTGAGTCTGCACACACACACCCACACTCCATATACGCTATCAAAGGAAAGAGGGGCATCTTTAAAAATCTAGCCATTAGAGCCCAATTCTGCTTCCTCGTATCTCACATATTCTCATTGGCTTTGTTGGGAGTTCTGGTGGTGCAAAAAGTGGAATTGCTGGACCTCAAATTATCAGCATTACAGTAACTCGTCACCTAACACTGTAATTATGTTCCTGAAAAATGTGAATTTATGCAAAATGATATTAAGCAAATCCAATTTCCCCATAAGAATTAATGTAAATAGGGGGAGTTAGGTTTCAGGGAAATTTTTTTCACCAGACAAAAGACATTATATACATATACAGTATAAATTTTAAACAATTTTAAATGAACAGTTTAATATTGTACACAGCAATAAATTATTGTGAAGCTTGGTTGAGGTGGTGGAATAGGAGGATGGAATATTTCCCAGGGAATGCCTTGCTGCTAAATGATGAACTAGCACTCAGCTGAGCCCTCAAGGGTTAATAGGCTGTTGTTAATGTAGCCTTACACTCTACAAGGCAGCATGGACTGAGGCAGAAGGGAGGAAACACAATAGATGCAGGGCAGTAGCTGCAAACACTTCCCTGCAAAAACTGAACATGATGATGAGCCCACGCTATCCAGCTGGAGCGCACCACTCCCTCCTCCTGACAGCACATGCACAGCTGCACAGGTGCTGACTTTCCAAAGTGCTGGGGGGTGCATGCATGAGTGAGAGAGACGTGCATTGCCCCTTTAAGTATGCTGATCCCAGTTCAGGTATGTTGCCCTTTTAAGCAGGTCCCCCAGTTCAGACAGGAAGCAACAGCTTCCAGGAAGCTCCCTCCTTTCTGTCCCTGAGCCCAGTCTCCCTCCTCTGCTTTGTGGAGAGGGGGTATGGAGCGAGGGGGGGCAGGAGCAGGGGGACATCCTGATATCAGCACCCCTCTCCCCCACTTCCCCATCAAGCAGGAAACTCCTGAGAGCAGCTCCAAGGCAGAAGGCAGAAGGCAGGGCAGGAGCAGCAGGGCAGTGTGGGGAGGGCCACCTGAACTGCTGCTGGGCAGCTGCTGAGCCACATACCTTACAGAGAATTTAGGGGAGCTGATGGGGGGGGGGCTGTGAGCCCCCCTTGATTCTAATCCCCACAAGGAGGGGCTGCTCTTCTGGAGAATCCTGCAAGCAGTGGACAAAGCAGGCAGCTGCCAAACGACTTATAAGGGAGCATTTTGCAACTTTAAACGAGCTTGTTCCCTAATAGATCAGCAATGAAACAATGTTAACAGAACAACATTAAGTGAAGAGTTACCGTATTGTTTTAGTGATATGACTTGTGCATTCAGTGCTTGATCCTAGACTCACTGAAGTCAATAGCTAACTGATGTTAGTGCAGTATCAGGGCTTTAATCTTCTTCTGGTTAAAAAACTTCACTCAAAAAAGTACATAAATAAATAATCAAACACCCTTATCAGGAGACAAATTTGTACACAACTTTTATTTGTTGGAGGAAAAAGCACAACACTTACCAATTTCTGTATCATGTTTCCCTAAAAAAGAAACAAAAATAAATATAAATTATTATTAGAAACATAAGGTTTCGTTTTGTGAAAGATGAACACTGATTATATAATTCATGAGTCTTTGATGGATTTCACTTTCACAACACCAAGAGAAAAAGGTTTTCCTTCCTCCATCTCTTACCTGTTGTTTCTCACTATTGTCAGAACTGAGGTTAAGGCTGAGAGCCCATGTTTATTCAGACCCCTATTTTCTACTGTGTATATTTTTTTCATACTAATTGTTGGGGTGAAATTTATCAAGCTTAGTGTCATCCCAATTTCTTTTTAGCAATAAATGAAATTCCTAAAGTCCATCAGGACTGAGGGGAGAATAACTGCACAGGTCAGGGGGAAGTGGACTGAAAGAGTGAGGAGTGGACAGTGGTTTGATCTCACACACCCCCTTTCCCAAGTGCTCCAGTCAGCTTGAGGCAGTACTGGGGAGACGTTCTCTCTGCCTGGTAAAGGGCTTATGCAGATCACTGCCCCCTGAAGCAAAGGGGAACATTTGTAACATTTCTTTCCCTGTGCTGCTGGGGACGGGGGCTTGGCCCAGGGTAGAATTTCATTCTTCACCTTTTTCATTTATTAGAAGACAATTTCATGCTAAATACATTACATTTGCCACTGACTTTTACCTTTTATTTTAAGTAGACAAAGAAGCAAGGCCAATAGAAACAAACAAAACCACCAGGATCACACTCAAAGCCATCATCCAGGGATTCACCCCAGGGAAAAGGAACCTTCTTCAATGCTTACCCAGACAGTAGGCCATAGCAATCGTTCGCCATTTGGTCCGTTCCTGCACAACCGGAAAGGCTTGACAGCCTGAGAGTCCAACATCGGAACAGCCTTCCGAATAGGGGGTCTACCTCTGGGCCGCCTTCACCCCTTGTTGGTGGAATTTTATCTTGGAAAAAGGAACCTGAGAAATAAAACTCCCAGGACTTGCATTAGTTTGGAAGCAGGGACAAAACTAATTTTTTTCTATTGTATGTGTGCAATAAGAGTGGAAGCATGGCCTCATCTACACTACATAAAAGTCCAGAGACTGATTTTAAAAATGACTCTAGGCAACACAGCTTTAGCACTGATTTATCTGTGAATGAACAGGACTAGTTTGATTCATTGGCATTCAGAGGTTCATAGAGCTCAGGGGCAAATTCTCTGCTCATAAGACCACATTGACTTCAGTGGAGTTATGTCTGCAAATATTTTGGCCTGCAGTGTTCAGCGACATTCAGGAATTGCCAAATTAATTAGAATATTTTTGCAACTCACTAGTTCCCCACAATATTTGGATGAATCATTATCACAATTAATCCAAACATTAAGTGAAGCAAATTAATCAGTCTTCACTTGCTGTTCTTGTGTTTTCAATGTTTAGGTCGCCGAGGCAGGGTGGGCATTTCAGACATGCCTACAGCATTCTCCACATGTGGCTTGTGCTCTGGTTTTGTGAAATCTTGTGTAAGTCAGCTTAATAGTGACCTATATTCATTAGCATAAATCCATCAAGAACTGACTTAAACTAAATATATAGGCCACTCTGAAACTGAAATAAGAGTGTTCAGACAAGAGGTATTATCAGTAACTAAATAGATAGTCAGTGCAACTTTTGTGAGTAGACAAAAGCAAAGTGAGCGATGAGCCCAAGTTCCATGGAATGTCAACAGAAAGAGCACCACACAATTTGCATGACATTTCATACGGTGAAAAGATAGCAAACAAACCACAGCATCAGAATTACTACATTCTAGAAATCATTGAGAGGAAGATAGGTGTGCAGGAATAAGCTGTTTCTATGCAGTGCTTAATCTGTAATGAAAGAGCTGCTGGGGCTCAAGCAATTTTTTTACTTTCATAACTGATGCAGCGAGGCCAGAGGACTATGAACCGTCAAGCCTAGAGGTGCCGGGGCTCAGCCCTGCCAAGCCCTGGCACACATTAAGCACTGGTTTTATGGTTCTGTGATTTGGGTGAATATTTATTCTCAAAATTATGGGAGAGGATTTTTGTTTGTTTGCTTTTTGGGTGGGGGAGTAAGAGTTTCAGGACATTCAGAGTTAGATTAAATTTACATGAAACTCAAAACTCTGGTACACTGAATATTCAAAATTCAGGTAATCAGACTGCCTGAACTGTGACCCTGTTAAGATATCACTCTGCCATTTTCTTTGCTTGTATGTAGATTGTAAAATGTGCACCACGGATTCTTCAGTTCTTTGTTTCCTGTATTTTGTTTTGTTTCTGGTGGTGGTAATTTCAGTGTGGGGTTTGACTGGTAATTGACCTGCTACGTAAATTGTTGATTCCTTTTCTTGATTGAGAAAGGTATTACTGATCCAACAGTTTGAATGTTCTCTCATAATAACAGAATTTTCTGTTTCAAACAGGCCGTTATGCCCCAGGGATTTTGCTTCATAGATTGATGGTAAATGTTGCCCACTGAGATCGCTCCCTAGCACCTTGGGCTCTGGGTACCACCCAGATGACTGACAAACCACCTGGATCCCTCCACCCTGGTGATGCTCAATAGAGATGAGAGGGTTGAAGCCCAAACCTGTGTATATATACATACTATACATGTGGATATCCATGGGCATTTCATCAACATCAAACTGGGATGGTCAAGGAAGGTGCATGATGCATGCATCTTTAGGAAC